TATTCTTATAAACAATTTGCCCTGAGGTTTATATTTTCATAACAAATTACCCCCTAATTTCTTAAGCAAATATAGCATTAAGGGGGAAATTCGTAATTTCTCAAACCTCAGGGGAGCATCTATAATTTAGCCAAACCTCAAGGGTTTATATGTAATTTACCCTAATAAAAAAAAGGCTCCAACTCATCCACACTTTTTGAGTGGGCGTGTAGTAGACGCAACCACGACTGCGAGTGGTGAATATCAGTGAAGAAACAAAAGTCATGAAAACCAGATCAACAGTTACAACACCGCGTTCTTCTCATGACGACATACCTCAAAGACATGTATGTACGGTGATATATATCTATCTACCTCTCTCTCTCTCTCCTCTCTTTCTCTCTCTCTCTCTCTCTCTATATCTATACCTATATCTCCAACTCCATTTTGCTCTGCTTTTTGGTCCTCAGACAGACAGACAGACAGACAGAAATTAAAACCGCTTTCAACACTTGATCTTCATTTGCAAGAATGCTTCCAGATGTCATCAAAAACCAATCTGCAAAGAAAATAATGACAAGGCAAACATTAATATATTATCAATTACATCTAAACTGATATTTAAATAATTTTATTTTATAAACCAATTTAGTAGAGATGCATATAACAATCCAAAACTTCAAAAAGTTGAAGTGATCCTTGATGATAACCAACACGGATAACAGAAGATGACAAAAGATTGCAGGAAAACCATGTATCACTAGCACTAATGCCAACAGGAACCAGAGAGAATCACAGGACATGTTTGACACAAACTAATCAGTCCACGGTTTTTACAAGAGTTAACATTTTCATCGAAATCCAAATATGTTCATGTTTTATTTTTAACCTCAACGAGGTAAAAAGGTCAAAACACACACATGCGAGCAAACATAAAAACAAAAACAAACACATATGAATAGATATTGAAATAAAAACACAATTAGACCTCCAAACAGTTTGGATTAATTACATTTTATATGGTTTTGTCCAAAAACACTTTACTTCCTTCATGTTTAAAAATATACACATTAACCCTCTTGAAATTTGGAGTGAAGTGCACACGTTGCAAATTATGGTTAAGTTTTCGTGCGTGTACGACACACTAAATTGAGCGTGTGAATCTAAGAAATATATATAATGACACTTTTGCCCCTTTTTTAATTTGCCTTTTTCTATTCTTTTCTTCTTCATTCCCTATCCCTTTTCCTTTCTACAGCAGCAGACCCACTTCCCCTTTCCCTTCTTCTCACTTCCTCCTACACCTCACATGCCACCACCAACCAATAGCCTCATGGGCCAACATGGCTATCAACCACCTCTAAAAAAAAACCCAACAGCCACTTCCCCAGACACCCATGTTGGGTGACTTAGCAACCTCATAGACACAGTCCACCATGACACTACTGTGCATGGCCAAACCCAACCCCAACACCTAGTGGACAAGCACCTTTCATCCGTCGCATCTTTCTCTCCTTCGCGGGGAAGTAAAATTTAAAACTCATCTCCCTCGAACAGTCTAAAAACATAAAGTTCTAAACACAAGTTCTAAAGGCAACGAATCACCTTTAAGTTCTGAACTATGGAAACTCTCAAAAAAAAAAAAAAACAATGAAAATGAAAATGGGGTAGAAAATTTAGGGGAAAATGCTATATAGTTGAGTATGAGACTGAGGAGAGACATTGTCATTTTTTAAGGCAGCTAAGCTGAGAACAATTACGATGTTATTAATGAAATCATTAAACCAATGATGTGTATTGATCCATCACTATAGCCAAACTTTATGTTAGGAACAAAAGCAATTACTAACAATTAACAATAGACTACTTAAATTAGTACTGAGAAAAAAAATCACTGTAAATAAACTAATCCCTCACAGCAAGAGGAGCTGTATATGTGTCATATGAGAGGAGGGAGAGGAATGATATAGGAGAGACCATGGGACAAGAAAGGAAAGAACGGGAAGAAAAACAAAAGAAAAGAGTCCCATCTAACATTCTATTGTTGACCTTGAACAATGTTTTTTGAAGAATTAAACAAAAATCAAGTTGGATTTTCTTCACTGAGTCTACAAGTCAACAGTTAACATTCAACATATTTTATCAGTTAGCAATATCATATCATATACAAAACAACTAGCAGAAAAACACTAATGGGATATCTTTTCTCAAAAGAATCTTTTGGTGCTCAATCACAATCGAAGTCCTTAACATTGGCTAGGATTTCCATTTTAGCTTTTAACAATTGGCCATTATAGCTATCAAATCTAAGATATGTCCTTCCAACAGCTAAAATGCAGAGGGTTGGAGTCAATGAATATGACAGGCTGATAATAATAATAATAATAATAATAATAATAATAATAATAATAATAATAATAATAATAATAATAATAATAGAATGCAATACACTGCATTGCAGCATCAAGTACAAGTGTACTCAATATTTTCTTCAATGATGCCAAGATAATAAGAGAGGTTGTGCAAGAGTCGAGTAACTATTTTATGAAAATTGTTTCATGATCACAAAAACAGTGGGAAAAATGAAGACAACAATATGAAAAATATGTGGCACAAGGTTTATGAAGACTTGAAAATCAGGATGATTTATGCATCTTGAAGTTTATGAACAGTTGATAATGTCAAACACCTTGCAAGCAATGCTATGCATAAACAAATTTGGATTCAATATAAAGTGATCATTATCTGGTTACAAAAAAAATAAAATAAAATAAAATAAAATAAAATAAAAATAAAAGAAGAAGAAGAAGAAGACATCAGACAATTTCATTCTTCTACATAATTCTGTTCACCTGAGCACTATGTCATCGTAGTTGGGTTCTAAATCTTCACTACATGAAGAAGCAAAATTGTACTGCTTAAAATTTGAAAAGCACTTGAAAATGGAAATAAGTTTTGTTTTTCCAGCATTGTTAATCATTCCCTTGTAAAAAGCCATGATGTGACAACAGCAAATTTAAGAATAAAAGTTTCCATGAAGATATTTAACATTAAAATCATTGTTTTAGGAATCCCAAGTGAAATAAGATATTCAAGAAATTACAAGATTTGAAAACACAGGATTCAAAACTCCATGACAAATCCTATACATTTAAATAATGAGACAAAATCACAAACTTTTAGTAATTTAACATTCAATAGAACAATAATGATTTTAAGTGATGGGCTCACTTCTTGAGCTCTGATAGATAAATACTGTAATGTAACATATGGTATCAAGGAAATACATTATATAGTCATTATTCTGAATCAATAAGTTATACATCAAGAGACTAACCTTTGGATTCAGGGCCTTCAATTGATCTTCAAACAATTGACGGTAGCAACAAAAACTGTAATCTATACAAACTACGTTATAGATAGTTCCATGTAATTCAAGTGGGTTGCTACCAGCAGAATGGTGTAACCTGTACAAGATGTTGATGAATTAGGTCCATCAGTTTTGCTCAGGGTACTACAGAGCCTTGAAATTCAATATGAAAAACAAGTCGGTTACCTGTCAACATTTTGTGTAATCATGAAATTTATCCAGCTGGTTTTTTCAAGAGATGACAAAGCAATATGAGTTGGACCAGGCTGTGCTGCAGTGAAGCGTCTCCATCCTGCATAGATCTTCGCCCAATACCGCTTTCTGGCCCGGGTTAAACAAAGAAACTCCTGTCCACAGAAGATCCCAAGAGGGCATAAATTAACCATGGAGTTTCAGCCATTCAATGTAAACAAGGACAAGTATAGTGGACTATTTCAAGTAGCTGATCAATTGTGCCAAATTTTTGAAACACCAAGAGGAAATGTTAACCATTAAATTTCATGCAGTTTTAAGGAAGAATGGAAGGAACAGATGAAAAAAACCTCACTTCATAACAGATCTGTATCAGAAAGATTCATGTCTATGGTTCCATTAGTTAAATTCAGAATAAATTCAAGAAAACAAAGAACACTGATGAAATTAAGGAACAAGGCAATGTCACTATGATGTGCACGGGTTGAACTGAATCTTTTTTAATGAATATGAAGGATTTGTGCCACAAATGACTTCACATAAATAATTACAAGAAAATTTATTTATTTTCACAATATTTTCAGCAAAATATTAAAGTGCTTTGTTTCATATAGAAGAATGGCAATCTCAAGTCATTTCACAGATCCTTTTTTCTAGCTCCAAATGTGGGATACTTAAGTCATTTCTGTTCCGTACTAGTTCCAGCTTTTTTAAGAGTGATTAATGTTACGATCACTAAAGTGAGCTACAAAAATTCAACTTAATGGAGCATAATTTTTATTTTTCACTGAGTATGCAATCCTGTAACACATTTACAGGTTGTTGATGTAATGGAGTTGATACCAACTATCAAAAACTTATTTGTTGCACAAGAAGCGCAAAACATAGAAATTTATTAATCTAAGTTATTTGTTATTACAAATAAATTAATACAAAAAACATAAAATTTGCAATGCATGCGTGATATTTATTCTCAAACCTTGATGTATCCATGTGATCCAAAATATTTCATTTTTTATTAATTTCCAAGTTTTTTCAAGAATGACATCAATATCTTTTGATTCATCACTATATCCATGTTCTTTTAGGTTGCAATATATCTTCTTAGTATTGATATTTTATTCCTTGTTGAGCCTTTGGATTAAATAGATGATGTAGACAGTAGCATTTTTGTTGGATAATAATTAATAAATGCCAGGCTATCTTCATCTCTTTCACAGTTGTTCTCTAATGTTTTGACTCCATAAGGAGCTGCTCCCAATTGTTTCATTCTTTTTATTATTACTCCTCACTCTAGTTTCCTTCTGATCAAGGTAACTCCTAAAACCAAGTAGAAACAGTTACCCCTTCCACAAAGAAACATGATAACAGAACAGATAAAGATAATAGAGCACATGCCTTCAGATCACCTTGTGGGTAATTGGTCTGAAGCCAGAACTGTAAGCTCCATTTGGGCTGCATTGAAACAAAACAATCCAGCATATTCATAAGAATAAATAAATAAATGAAAACAAAATAACAAAAAATTCCTGTAAGCATTGAATTTAGAGTAGCAATGATAATGTCTTATAAATTAAAAGATTATGTTGCAAACTCTAAATTTAGCAGTGCATTAAGTACTAGAAGTAGGGTGTTGGTTGGTTGGTTCAAGCTTGAGAATTCAGTGGCTATGTTAGAAAGCACTCCGAATATCAAATCATGAACGCTTTTTTAGATTTAAATACCCCAAAAACCAAATAAGCAATAGAAATTCTATTATATTCTTTTTAGATAACGATGGTAATCAACAAGAAGACCCATACACAATTGATGCACAAGGAAAACAAATAAATTCGATAACAAGACATAGTGAAAGAAAACCTTTGATGGTGAAGAAGGCCCACATGCTACACATTAAGATAGAAGACGAAGGTAAACCTAGTCAACTACTGCCAACCAAAATGCGGCATTCTGAAATATATACAAATCTAGTAAGGAATAAATACAGAACAAAAGTTATTGCAAATGATTTACAAATTTTGCTTTTGCGACAACTTGCAAGCACTTTTTGGTTGCCACAGTGCCAAAATATACAAGATCCAATAAAATTCAAACTAACATTCAGAATTACAATTCATATCTAGAAAATAATCAGAATGCCGATTATTAATTAGTAAAATTACAAGAAGCTTACAGTTGCGAAATTCATGCTTCCCTGAGACATATTTTTACAAGTAAATTATGATTGGAGGTTGCAATCAAAATTTTGAGGGACTAATATGCTCCACGTAAACTTTAAAAAATTGGAAACAGAACCTTCTAGAATCAGGAATTCCACATTCTACGCTTATTACAGCTCCAGTCAAAACGACAAGTTTGGTACTACACAATAAGTACAAAATAAATACAACAGAACCTAGTAAGAAACATACACATAGTTCTGAACCACATTATTGATTAAGAGAATGTCAAATTTGGAAACCTTTATTTAAAGAATTGGTATAAAAGCTCAACATCTTTGATGCTTAGGGGATCTGAATCAGGAACCAACTTCTTGTCCCTCAAAAAGCTTGAAGACACATTTTCTTTGGTTATTGATGAAGTCCCATTAACAGATATTCGACATGTAGTTTGTACAAATTTTACAGAGCCTTGAAAAGGGAAGATTTTTTTCACTTTGCTTGAAGACCGCATATTTTTACTACTTGACTGAAGCGTATCTATAAAGACAGAAAACTGAATAACAAACATTTATACCAAAAGTATAGAACATCACAGGACAGGAGCTGAAGAGATGGTAATAAAAATAAATAAATAAATAGGCACTAGCCTTTCATTGTAGTCCCAAGCATTTCCCTCATACCTTTGACGGTCTGTATGTTCAGAATAGAATTGCATTTGGTAGCCCATGAATTATTCAAACATTAGAAAACTGTAGCATGTGTTCGTCATCCAGTAGAACAACTAAACAATATGGCCCATTTAAAAAATATTACTGCAAATGTTTGATAAACCAAAAAAATGTAGAATACAAATGAGAAGGAAGTTAACTTACCCTGTTACTTCATGGAATACCAAGGATGTTACCCATCTCACCTTCTCCAAACCCACAGAGCATTTCCTTCTTTTTGTGACCCCAATGTAGAAAAAAGGACAATCAATACAATCCCCTAGCTGCCACAAAACCCATTGCTCCATTAAGGAAGCACACAAACATTTTAAGGTAAAATAAACATATAAACATTTGGACCAAGTTGCTGACATATTTACCAAGTCTTTACATGTCTCTTGGTTCCAGATGTTGGTTATTAGTTAGTTAGTTACTCTTCTCTTTCTTTAACTCTCTGTGTGTGTGTGTCTAGCTTAGAGCTGAGAAATGAATATGCATTAGAGTCTATTCTTTTGTTCACCTTAAAGTTCAATTTCATAAATGTTGGAGAGCCAAGTAATATGTATGTATGTATGATGGCTACTTCTCTATTCAGTCAACTTGGAACTTGTGGAGAGCCCAGCATCCCAAGGTGCAATGGGCTAAGTTGCTTTGGTTCAAGCATCATATTCCTAGGACTAGTACCATTGTCTGGATGGCCATTTATAACAGGTTGAGTACCCTTCCGGTTGCCTTTGGTGTGATGGATACTTCTAGGTGTGTGCTTTGTGAGGCTGATGATGAGAACCATAATCATTTATTCGTTGAGTGTTCTTACTCTTTTAGAATCTGGTCCACTATGACAGCTAAGTGTAATGTGAATTGGCCTAAATTGAATTGGAACCACCTTGTGAATTGGTTAGCTACACAGCTTACTGGCTCCTCTCTGGCTGTTACTATTTGTAAATTGGTCTTCACTTGCTCTATTTACTGTATCTGGCTGGAAAGAAATTGTAGAATTTTCCAAGCTACAAAGTCTACTGAGGTGGCCATCATCACCAGGATTAAGGAACTAGTAAGATACAGGGTGATGTCCATCACTAACTTCAAGGCTGATTTAACTAATAATTGGTTCTTGAAGAAATGGTCTCTACCTGCTTCTGTGATCAAATTTGGAACTGTTTATAATCTGCAGGTTATTGGTTGGTCCTCTTTAAGGGATGTGGGTTGAGTGTTCAGAAGATTAAACTAGTTTACTGAGTGAGTGATATGAGTCTTGTGGGTTGAGTGAGGTGAGCCTCCAGTATAACTAATTATTTTTTCACAGGTTAGTTCATTGCAGGTTGGCTGGTTGTAATGTAAGGAAGAGAGTTGAGTTATGTAAGATCCTAAATAGGCTTGAGTGAGTGTGGTAAGCTTTGAGGGTTGAGTGATGTAGCTCTACAGTCTTCTTTTCTTACTGTGTGCTGTGTAGGCTTGGCTGGTCCTAATGTTTAGGGATGGTGGGTTGAGTGATGTAAGTTCTGTATGTTAGGTTTGTGTAAGTGTAATCCTCTATACTTGAGAATTGTGATTTGGGAGCTTTCTTCCTTTGAGGGTTGAGTGACTGTGAGATACATTTTGTTCTTTGGTTTTGCATGCTCCAGTTCTGAGTTTTGAGTGTTGTATGAAGGTTGAGTAGCTGCTGTCCTATATGAGAGTCTTGTTTGCATGCTTATTTTTGAATTGTATCACCTTAGCTTGTGTTGATCCTTGTGTTTTCCAGGCTCTATTAATTCTGAGCTCTGGTACTTGGCATCCACTGCTTTGAATATAATTTGTCCAGCTATGACTAGATGCTGCTGGCTTCTATAGTGCTCTGCCTTCCTCTCTACAGATTCTCAGCTGTCTTTGCTGGTAAAGGAATTTAACAGGCTGTCTTTGGTTCTTGTTTAATCTTACTATGTGATACACTGATATGTTTTGGTTTCCTACCCAATTGGGATGTCATTGGGATGTCTTTTCTTTTTTCTTTTTTTTTTTGGAGTATGTGGGTTGAATATTATGTAGTATGTTGTGTTGTAATTGGTTGCTCCTGGCTGGAACTGTGTTTTGATAGTTGTTGGATTGAAGAGGGAGTGAAGTTTACTGAGTATGAATTGGTGTTGAAGTCTGATGTGGTTCATGCGAAGTTACTATCATGTTTGGGAAATCAATCTCAAGGATCTGCCAGGTGCTTCATTTTGATGCACATATAGCAAGTTTTGGGCTGCCTCTTGTTCAAGACCCCCATCCTTTGTATAGGGCTTATGAACAGTTTTGTAGTCTTGGCCCATTTTAATTTTAGTTTATTATTATGCTAGTCTAGCTTGGGGTTGCTAATATGTTTGTTATGTATAATTTCTTAGTAGGGCCTCGGGTATACCCCTTGTAAATCTGTAAATCTTGGTAGTCTAACTTCTTTTCATCTTGTTGCTGGAATTCTTTAATTCTACTGTGTCTTCTATTGACTACAAAGTAGTCTAAGTTGAAATAGTGAATCTGATTGGCCTGTACTCAAGTGTTTGTGATTTCAAAAATCTTTTGAAATTAAAAAAAAAAATTGTAGGACTGAAATCAAAACTGTAAATGGATAGAGCTAATACGCGTGATATCATTACAAGATGCAAAAAAATCTTAACCAAAGGTAGTGTTGAATATTGACATCAGTTATAGGTAGTGGTGGGTACCCAATGTGAGAGCATTAGAAGGAAGATACATGGAACATGGGGAAACAATAATTTTCGTTCCATGGCTTTTGCTAATCCATGATATTAGTAAACAATAAATGAGAAGTACAGATAAGGGTAGCTCAGATATGATATTTTCATTTAGTTTGTGTAAGAACTCAATGGTTATAGGTAGTAGTGAACTGGGGATATTTTAGATCTCAAGCTGAAACTTGCAAAGTCTAGTCTCGGTTAGGATTTTTGCAATTTTGGGAGAAATGCTTGAAAAATTCATGGGCTGCAGGGCTCAAAACTAAGCTATGGGTAGAATAAAGATAGAATTCAGATAAATCTGTTTAAATTGCTTTTTTATAGTCTATTAAAACTCTCATCATGTGGGTTTGAAGTCATTTTTTTTCAAAATAACTTGACCCCTTGTTATTGTAGTTTAAACTGCTTTCAATAAGGTCCATCTCATCAATTTGAAGTAAAATATTCCTCGAGTTTTTTCAAATCCCTGAAACAGTACCAACATATTAACATGACCTGCAAAAATTCAAATAAAAATGTATACAGAGAGAATAAGATGACAATGACCCCTAATAGAACAACAGAGTCCAAGCTAAAGCCAAACAGATGAGCTTTTTGTTTATTCTTTGGAATCTTTTATTTTTTATTTTTTATGGAACTTTATTATTTGGAATCTGATCTCTAGCTTTTTCACCCAACAATCAATTTTGATTTCAAGTGCATTATCTGTACTGGTGGATTGTTTGACTAACTTTGATTCAAAATCTTACACGGAATTATTTAGTTATGAGAAAATATATCCAAGTAATTGAGATGATACCACAATCTTAGTAAACTTGGTTTGTATTAGTATACTTTAGATTCTCACTATAATTTATCGATTTGTTAGGGGAGGTTGGTGTCGTTTGATCTTCAAAAACTTGTACCACTAAGCAAATCCCATATATGATTTCAATTCCAGCAAAATAAGTAGTTTTTGAACAAATTATGGGTTGGATTGCAACCAACAGCTTAGGTAGTTTATGAACAAATGAAATGAAATTTTCTGGCGAATCTGACTTTCTAAGCTCCTACAATAACTTAAGTAATCCTAATGAAGGATATAAGATACAGAAGACCTGCAGCAAAAAAAAAAAAAAAAAAAATAGGCCTAACTAGAAAAATTATTGAAAGCACCCTACACTAAAAGCTAATGACTTGTCAATAGGTTCTTCCCCTCATTCTTCTTGTTCCTGCAACAATGTTGTTTCTTAATTCTGTTGTCTAATCAAGTATAATTTATTAGACCAGTTGAAAGTGTAATTATGATAACAGGTAGTTTTCTATTGCTTTGAAACTGCAATATATATCATCATAAGGTCCTCATAATTTACTATATGGCTTTGCTTGCTTTGACCTATAACATATCTTGCAAAAAAAACCTCATATTTCTGATTAAAAAAAAAGAACTGCTAAGATAAAATCTGTCTTCTCCTTCAAAGAACAGAATGAAACCAGAGCAATATTCAACTCTCTCTCTCTCTCTCTCTCTCTCTCTCTCTCTCTCGGCTCTCTTCCTCAAATCTGAGCAGAGCATTAATGGCTAAGAATTAACGACCAAAAAAAACCTAAAAAATACATATAAACTTCAAAAACCAAATGATAAATCAAAGCTTTTAAATCACTCAATAAAGAAAACAATTCCAAATTTATTTACCAAATCAACAATAAAGCCAGATTATAAGCTACAAAAATTGTGAAGATTGAAAACCCATAACAATTTTGAAACAACTCAATTCAATCGATGCATTACAAGAAAAAGAAAATAGAGAAAAAAGAACCTGGGTTTGATGCAGAGTGTAGAGCCCCGTTTATACAAGAAGAGCCGACGGTAGTGTAGGCGTTGAAGGTGGAGTAGCAAGGGCAAAGAGCTATGGTAGAGAGGGAGAGGTATTGGGTGCGTCTGTTTTGATAGAGAGAGAGGGAGAGAGGGAGAGAGGGAGATGATCAACAGAACAGAAAAGAGGCAAAACAAAAATAAATTACCCTATTCAAATTTTTTTTTTTTTTTTTGGATTCAAAATTATCATATTGAGTTGATAAACAGAAAAGAGGGAAAACAAAAATTAATACCTTATTTTGAGAAGAGATGATAAATAGAAAAGGAGTAGAAAAAAAAATAATATCCTTTGTTTTTTGGGTCATTGCCGCTCAATATATCAAACTTTTCCACTAAAATTGGTGACAGCATTATTTCCTCACCAAAAGATCTTAAAAATATTAAAAATTATTAGTGACAAAAATATATTTCTCATAAATAATTTTATAATTAGTGACAAATTTTTTCTCATTAAAAGTTTCAAAATTTTGGCGCCATTCAAAAAAATTAGCGGGAAAATTTTTGGTGACGAAATTTAATTTTTCTCATTTAAAAAGAAGTATTTATTGACAAAAATAAATTTCGTCACCTATTATTTTTATTTTTTTATTATATGTGACAAAATTTATAAATTTCTCACGAATTATTCTTATTTAGTGACGAAATTTATTTTCCTCACTAGTTTTCGTCACCATAAGCTACTTTTGTTGTAACTGGAGGTGTGCAATACCCGCTCGAGCGCAAGAATACCCGCTCGAGCGGATCGCCTAAAAACTGAACAACAAGGAATTGAAACCAAGGCCTAACCAACCTGTAACAACCCTGTTCAAAACATGCTAAAACTCAATCAAGTGGAATTAAAGGACGACAACAAGATAGATACCACTACCAACTTCACGGAACCAAGTCTGGAATACAACAGAACAGTAAAGGGACAACCGGGATCGCTATAAAGAAGATACTGGAATATGAGACCCATTACACCTCGCTGGAGAAGGCTTGCTTAACTTTGGTATGGGCTACCAGTAAGTTGAGGCATTACCTGTTAGCTCACTCCGTAATTCTAGTTTTGAGATTAGATCCCATCAAATATCTCTTCGAGAAACCAGCGCTTACGGGTAAGCTAGCTCGTTGGTTGCTTCTTTTCTCCGAATTTGATCTGAAATATGTGACGCGCAAGTCTGTCAAGGGGAGAGCGGTAGCTAAGTTCCTGTAGATCACCTAGTTGAAAGGGGTGAAGCAGTAAAGTATATATTCCCAAATAAAGCTATTCTGCAAGTTGAGGAAGAGATTTGGACAATGTACTTTGACAGAGCATCTAATCAGTACAGTTTTGGGATAGGGGTGTTGCTGATAGCACCCGACAATTCCCATATACCTTTAGCCTTCAAACTCTAGTTCAAGGTATCTAATAACGAAGCAGAATACGAGGCGTGTAACACTGGATTGGAAGCCGCCCTATAACTGGGGGCTAAAAGGTTGGACGTCATCGAAGACTCAAACCTAGTTGTGTCTCAAGCAAAAGGAGACTGGAAGGTTAAAGAAGAAATGATGAAAATCTATCACCAAACCCTGGATGTTCTGATTCCTAGGTTTGAGAAGTTAACCTTCACGCATCTGTCAAGAGAGAACAATAGGTTTGCTGACACTTTATCAACTCTATCTTCCATGATAGACATCCCTTTGGGAGTCTGGATGCATCCGATCATCATCGAACAGAGGTATAAGCCGGCCCATGAGTTGATCACCGCGATAGATGAAGTGCGAGATCAGAACTCCTGGTATCATGATATCTGGAACTTCTTGGAAAAGGAAGTTTATCCATTAGGGACAAATGCCATGGATAAAAGGGCAATACGGCGAATGGCTGCTCAGTTTATCTTCTGCGGAGGTAAGTTGTACAAACGAGGCCATCTGGGAATGCACAAGCTGTGTGTTGATGCAGAAGAGTCAAAGCGCCTAATGGAGGCCATCCACGGAGGGGAGTGCAGATCGCACATGAGCGGTGTAATGCTAGCCTAGAAGATTCTCAGGTAGGATTATTACTAGTCAACCATGGAGGAGGATTGTATTGGTTTTGTTCAACGATGCCATACATGCCAAATTCATGCAAACCGTATGAATATCCCACCGTCGAAGCTGTACAACATGACTTCACCATGGCCTTTTTCAATCTGGGGAATTGATGTTATTGGGGTAGTTACGCCGAAAGGCTCGAATGGGCATGAGTATATTCTGGTGGCAATAGACTACTTTACAAAGTGGGTCAAGGCCCAATCCTATGCAGTGCTGAAAGCATCGCATGTAGCCAAGTTCATCAAGAATAACATCATTTGTTGTTATGGGGTCCCGAATGAGATCATTTTTTACAATGGCTCCCATTTCAAGGGAGAAGCGATTGACTTGTTGGAGAAATACAACGTGGCTTTTCATAAGTTGTCCACATGTCAGACACAAACCAACGGAGCTGTTGAGGTCGCCAACAAGAACTTCAAGCACATTTTGCAGAAAATAGTTAAGACTTACAGGGATTGGCCAGACAAGTAGCCATTTGCTCTTTGTGGCTACAGAACATCTTTCGGACATCTACAAGGGCAACTCCATATTCTCTAGCTTATGGGATGGAGGTTGTTCTACTGATTGAAATAGAGGTTCCGTCGCTGCGAGTTATGGTTGAGTGTCAAGTAGCAGAAGCGGATTGGCAGTAGAGCAGGTTTGAGGGACTGATGCTATTCGATGAGAGGAGGCTAAAAGCACTATATCATGTCCAAGGTTATTAACGCAGAATCGCCATGGCTTTCTACAAGAAAGTTAAGTCCAGGAATCTGAAGGAAGGGGATCTGGTGCCCAAAGACAACCTGGCTCCCTTCCATGACCCTAGGGGCAAGTTCAGACCCAATTGGATTGGTCCTTACATCATTAAGACTATCTGGTCGGGTGGAGCTGTTATTCTTATGGACCTAGATGACCTAGAATTCTCCCAACCAATCAACATGGACAAGTTGAAGAAATACTACCCCTTGAGTGGCTCGCTAGGTCGAAAACCCACTACTACAAAAATGGTTAAAGATCACACTTTGACAAAAAAAAATATCTCACTTTTATTGGAAGTGTGATAAAAAACATTAGATTGATATTTTAATCACACTTAATTTAATTGAGTGTGATAATATTTATTTTTTATGTCACTTTTCAATTAAGTGTGATTATATATATATTTTTTTAATCACACTTTCTAATTAAAAGTGTGATTATATATACACTACTACTTTTTAATCACACTTTTTAAACAAGTGTGATTATATATATATTTTTTAATCACACATTTTAATTAAAGTGTGATTATAGATATATTACTACTTTTTAATCACACTCCCTAAATAGGTGTGATTGTATAAAATATTTCAATTTGATTTTTATATAAAATATACAATTCCCAAATTGGCACCTCTATTCTACCCTTGAATGATAGAAACGACTCACTACTAGAAAAGAAGGCTTTAGACACGGAACTTTTTCACCCATTTTTTCATCTTTCTATCTCTCTGTCTCTAATTCCACCATTTATACAAAATGACAAATACCTAGGTTAAAAACTATAACAAGGTATAGAATATCCCTACCTCAAGTGTAAAATCTCAAAGGAGATGAAGAAGAACATCAAAGGTATCCAAACTCAGTTTTGTTTGAATCAAGAGGAAGCCCACAAGATGCTCTAACTCTTGATCAAATGGAGTAGGGTGGAGAGACCCTTAGATCATGGAGTATTTGTAGAGAGAGAGTGTGTTTTAGAGAGAGAGAGAGTGTGTGTGTGTGTGTCAGATTAGGGTTTTGGGGCAAAAAGATGTAAAATTTCTATGTAAGAATGAGTTGCTACAAACTAATATACACGACCTTCGCTCGAGCGGAGGAGTTGTCGCTCAAGTGACCAGACACAACAAGTGACCTCGCTCAAGCGCAAGAAGTGTCGCTCAAGCGGAAAGTGCAAAGCTTCAGAAGTTTTACAGATGCACGCGTTCGCTCAAGCGCAAGAAGTCTCACTCGAACAAAGCACTTCACCTTCCCAGAAATTCTGCATTTGGGAAAGAAACCTAAGGACTCTCAATTCTCGCTCGAGCACAAGAAACCTTACTCGATAGAAAGAGAAAATTTCACAAGGCTCGTTCGAGCGCAAGAAGTCTCGCTCAAGCGAAGAAGCGAAAATCTGGGCAACAACAATTTAGACCAACTAACAACCAACCTGTTCCAAACACGTCCAACATATTCCAAAGCTCAAATTCAAAGAGTTAAAGGAGAAAAACGGGACATGGACAACAACATATAACCATGGAACCCGAGTCCGAAATATAACAAGGTCGGGTCAAAATCGAAATCACTATAATTTCTATTTCTTCTTCAATTAATTTTATTATTCCTTTATTAATTTCTAAAGTTAATTCTAAGGCTTCTTCTTCTTCTAATTCCACATAATCCAGACTTCCTAAGGCTTATAGTATTTTATTATCCTTTTTATTTCTACATTGATTAGCAAAGTGGCCTATTTCTCTACATACCCAACATTTACAAATCTTTTTCCTTCTAGACAATAATTATTTTTTCTAAAAAACTTTCTTCTTTTGTTGAAATTATAGGGTTTTTTTTATAATATTTTCTTTTATATTGTTCTTCTCTTTGCTTATTAAAACTTTTTTCTTTTATAAAATGTTTTCTTTTTCTTATTATATGTTTTTCTTCTTGAATGCCCACATCCCCATGAATTAGATGTTTGCCAGCAATGTAACTATTGTTTTTCATTTTTCTTCTTTGCTTCATTTTCATGCATTCATACTCTACCCATTCTCTTAGATATTTAATTCTATGACCTACGGTGTCACTTGTGACATCTCCTAATTCTTTTAAATATTTTTTTTGTATTTTTCTTCTATATTAACATTTATAGGATATGGTAATTTATGAAAAAACATGGTTAAATGAATTTTATTTCTACCTATTTGATAATAATAATAGGAGTATTAACATATATTCCATATTAAATATTTCTATGTTACTTAATTTCCTGACCCATTCTCTTTTTCTTTTATCTTCATCCCACTCTTTTCCAATGAATTCTTCTTCAATATATTTTACGAATATGTTTAGCATTCCTTTTAGGGCAGTTTCTTTTGTTAATTTTTCTTTGTTACTTTCTCTTAGATTGTCATATCAGCTTGCTACTATACCCGTAAGGCTATGTTCAATATAATTTAGAAAACTTTGC